TTTGGATAGAGATAAGAATAGAAAATAAACAATGTAAAAGAAAAATAAAGAAAAGGTCTGAAGGAATCCACCAAGAGAGTGTGTGAGTGTCTTTCCCCTTAATCCCTTAGACAAAAAAGTATTAGTATGCAATGATTCTGAAGATTCCCTTTGAGCCCTGAGCTACTGGAGGCTGGTCCCCCAGGTAGTGAAAATACTTCGTTTCCTCTTCCTTGAAAGATCCTTCCACCTTTCTATCCTTCCATCCATCTCCATCCCCTAATCCCTTACTAGCTACCTAATTTCTTTGGTTAGTCTAAATAAAACATACATATCTAAAGCTTAAAAGCTAATATCCACATATAAAAGAAAATATTTTGGGGGTCTGGATTATCTCACTAAGGATGAGTGTTTCAAGAGCCATCATTTACCTAATTTTGTATTTGCATCTTTCTTAATAATATTCTATTGTATAAAGGTGCTATAATTTCATTAGCTAATCATCTATGCTGCTTCCAATTTCCAGATATTACTAATAGAGCAGCAATGACCATGGGTGAACAAGTATCTCTGTAGTAAGATAGAGTTCTTTGGGTACATGCCTAACAGTGGTACAGCTGGAACTTGTAGATTGATTTTCATTGCTTGAGGAACCTCTACACTAGTTTCCATCATGGCTGCACCGGTTCACACTCCCACCAGCAGTTAGTAAGTGTTCCCCTTTCCCTGCATCCTCTCCAGCACATGCTGTCATTTGCTTTATTGATTTGCCTTGACCACTCTGACTAGAGCAAGACACAATCTCAAAGTATTTTTAACGGTTACGGTTTTTTAAACATTTTGATGTATTTCTCAGTCATTTGTGCTTCATCTTGAGAACTCTCTGCTTAGTTCTATACCTATTTTTTTATTATGTTGTTTTCTTGAGATTCAGGGTTTGTTTTTTTTAGCTCTTTCTATCTTCTATATACTAATCCTCTATCAGACATGTAATTGGCAAAGATGTTTTTCTATGCTATAGACTGCAGCTTTGGATGAATAAAGATGCCTCTTGCTGTATAGAGCTTTTCAGCTTCATGATGTCCCATTTATTATTTATTGGTTTTATTGTCTGTGCTATCAGTATCCTGTTCAGAAAGTGCTTTCCTGTTCCAATGAGTTCAAGTGTATTTCTTACTCTCTCTTCTAATCAGATTTAGACTATTGGTGTCCTTGATGCATCTGGAGTTGAGTTTTGTATAAGAATGCATTATTTTCATCAGTATGTATTTTTGGCTTCTTTATCAAAAATCTGGTATTTGTAGGTGTTTAGAGTTATGTCCTGGTCTTCATTTCTATTCCATTAATCAACATGTCTGTTCTTATTGCCAAAATACTATGCTAATTTTTATTACTCTAGTTTTGTGGTATAATCTGAGACAGTGATATCTCCTGAAGTTCTTTATTTTATTAGGATTGCTTTACGTATCTGCGTTTTTTTGTGTTTCCATATGAAATTTAAGATTTTTTTCAATTTCTATAATGAATGTGTGAATTTTTTATAGGAATTACATTGAATCTTTGTATTTCTTTTGGTTGTGTGGCCATTTTCACAGTATTCATATTCCTAATCCAAGAATATGGGGCATCTTTCCAACTTCTGATGTCTTCTTCAATTTCTTTCTTCAATGTTTTGAATGTTTTATGATACAAGTCATTAACTTGTTTGGTTAAGGTTATTTTATGAAGAATTTTTAAGGCCATTGTAAAAGGTATCATTTCCCCAATTTCTTTCTCAGTGTATAGGAAAGTTACTAATTTTGTGTGTTAATTTTGTATCCTGCTACTTTGCTGAAAGTATTTATCAGCCTTGTAAGTTCACTTCTGGAGACTTTAGAGTTTTTATGCATAAAAATTGTAACATCTGAAAACAAGTACACTTTGACTTCTTCTTTTCCTATCTGTATCCCTTTGACACCTTAAATTTTCTTACCACTCTGAATACACTTCAAGCACTGTGTTGGTTAGATATGAAGAGAATGGATGTTCTTGTCTTATCTCTGTTTTTTTTTTTTTACAAATGCTTTTGAGTTTCCCTCTGTTTAGAATACTGTTGGATGTAGGCTTCCTGTATATTGCCTTAATTAAGTTGAGATATGAACATCATATCCCTAGTTCCTCCAGGACTTTTATCAGGAAGGGGCATTGAATTTTGTCAAAGGCCTTTTCTGTATCTAATGAAATGATTATGTGGTTTTTGTCTTTATGTGGTAGATTATGTTGATTTATAGATGTTGAACCATCCCTGCATCTCTAGGAAGAAGTCAACTTGATCACAGTGGATAATCTTTGTGCTGTCTTCTTGGATGCAGTTTGCATCTATGTTCATAAGGGCAATATAATTTTTTTCTTGTTGAGTCTTTCTGTGGTTTTCCTGTTGGAGTAATAAATAGCTTTATAAAAGGAGTTTGTAAATGTTCCTTCAGTTTCTATTTTACAGAATACTTTGAGGCATATAAAAGTTAATTCTTTTAGAAAGTCTGGTAGAATTCTCTACTGAGAATGCATTTGATGCTATACTTATTTTTAGCTGGGAGATTCTTTATTACACCTTCAATTTTGCTAGGGATTATGGGCCTGTTTAAATTTTTTATTTCATCTTAGTTTAACTTAGGTAGGTCATAGATATTAAAAAAAAATCATCCTATTGTTTTCAGTTTGGTGAAATGCAGGTTTTTAATGTGCTTGTGATTTTCCAGACTTCATCTGTGTCTGTTGTAATGTCTACCTTTTCATCTCTAATTTTAACTAATTTGGACCCTCTCTTATAATAATGTAAGGGATAAACAAAAAGGGATACAAGTTAAATTTTAGTATGTTAACTTTAAGGAAAAAGATGAAGTTGTCAATGAAAAGGCATTGTGTTAGAGGCTGGGGGCGGGGCTTGGTTGGTTAAGTGCTTGTCTCACTAGCACGAGGACCTAAGTTTGTATCTCCAGCACCCATGGGATAAAGCTGGCTACAGTGGCACACACCTGAAACCAAGTCGAGAGCTATAGTGGAAGATACCTGACATGTACTTCTAGCTTCCAAATGCACACACGTACAGATCACAAGTGAGTGTCAGGACTGAATTAAATCTAGCAATGGTCAAGTAACTGTATGTCCATTAAGAAAAACACAGACATAGCACTCACCCTTCTGTAGATGAAAATTTGAAATAACAGTGTAGAATAAGCAGCTGCCAATCGCATTTGAAGAATGTTCCCATGCTGGGGATGGTGGTGCATGCCTTTAATCCCATACACATAAAAATAATAAACAAAATGTTCAAAAATATTTTTATAAAGACTGTGTCATATCACAGAAAAGTCAAGGCAAAAATTAGGATAAGAATAGCACAAGAATTGGCACAATGAAGTCTAAATGGCCTTTGAGAAAGTAGTTTTCATCAGAGTAATGGAAATTAGATGCAAGATTACAAATACTTATAAAAAATGGGCAAGAACAGCTAAAGTGACATCACTCCTGCCTTCAAAGGTTAGGAGAGTTATTATGAAAGACTTGCTGATGATAATAGCTCTGTTCACTTCAAGAAGAAACAAAAAATAACAAATTTTAACTACCTTGTAATGATTCAAATGGTCTGAAAAAGAATGTGTTTTCTTGATATGATGGCTCATGCTAGCAATTGGAGCTGAGGCAGGAGAATCTTTGTGAGTGGTTAGGCAGCCTGAGCTACCTAACACAAACCTATCTCAACAAAGTATTAACTTTAAATGATTCCTAACTGCATCCTAAATCCTTGCCAGTATACCCACAGGATAGTGTAGCTGTCACCTTTAATCAAAGCAGCCTCTCTCTGCAGCAAATGGAGGCCATTGCGGAAAACCACAACTAGTCAAAATGCAGAGGACAACTGATCATGTTACCCAGCCACAGTGGATACATTTACAATGCACCTCCTGCATCTAATACTCAGAGAACATTGCTGCTGAACAGGGGCCAGAGGGAAGTCTGCTTTGAGAAATGACAGGGAACTTACACCCGTGGTACCTTAATAAGATGGCTGTCTACGCAAGACCCTTGCCCTAGACAAAGAACTACAGACAACTAAGGCCTGCTGAAGGAGGACAATCCATCTTCCCCAGGGATGGGCCCCTTAATGGTTATCAAACACCAAGTGGTTAGCTCTAAATTCATATACATACAAGCAGTAATAAAAGGACTCATCAGGTTGTCATATACATATATATCATATAATACATCTGTACATAATATATGTATACATATCATATAATAAATGTACAGATATCATATAATAAATTGCCTATGTTATATAATAAGTGTACATATATTGTATGTATATGTGATATATAAAATATATATTACAGGTTGTAATACATGTTTTATATATATACTATGTGTATAAAAACAGTTTTTTCAAATGGCAGGCAGTGCATTTGAGGAAGAACGAGGTGGGACATGGGAAAGGTCGAGGAAACAGCAGCAGAAGGGCAGAAATGATGTCATTACATTTGACCTAAAATCATTTTCAGTTGTAAAATGTAGAACTCCTCCCCTTGAAATCTGAAACAGTGGAACAGAAAGTTGTCTTAAAATGTGATTTAAAAAGTGCCAGTCACGACCCTCGATCTTACACCCTCTAAGTGTCTTAACCAGCTCGTGAACTTAAGTACATGGAAAGAATGATGAAGCCAAATTCAAGATTTTTGAGTTGGAGGACAGGGTTCACTTCAAAAGGGAAAACACGAAAGGGTGAGTGGAGAGGGAGGAGGGGGAGGCGGGCGGTGGGGGTTGGAGGTCAGTGAGGTGGGCAGAGGCGCAGTTGGACTGCTGAGAGCCTCGCTGTGCAGCCTCTGCTTCCTGAGCAGCAAGGCTTCTCTTTGCTCTTGCTCTGTGACCTCACAAAGCTTTGCTGAATTTTATTTTGGAATTGTCTCAGAATCATTAACCTTTCCCTAATTTGGCATTTACTAAACTCAACCTATTGTGTTTTTTGAAAGACACACGTAACTGACCCTGTTCCAGTCTCCTGGAAAGTGCGCAGCTGCCCACATGTCCTCGGAGACAGATGCGAGTCTAGTACTTTCGTCTTGTAGTTCCTCCAGGATGCTGCCGTGTGACCTGAGCGGGCCCGGAGCCTTGAACTCACGCGAGGCAACTGTGTCTCATTTAATCTTCCAGCTTGAACTTTCATTCTCCCTTAATGATTACTTCCTTAAAGGGTTTCCAAGTTCAGACAAATCCAGTTGGGCCTCTGCCCTCTTGTCATTTAGTTCAAATTAGGAACACAGCAATGTTTCAAGTTGGCCTGTTTTCATTTGGTCTCATGGATTATCAGATAGTGTTCTGAATGGCCTTGTCCCAGAAGGCTTGCTGGAAAAGACTTTCTCTGCAAATTGCAACTTCCTATCACTCCATCACGATTTTAACCAACAGTCTGTCAGGGGAGTGTTTTCACAGCCAGTGGTCACCCAATAAGTGACCCAGCCTGTGGCCTTTGTGGGTGGGGACGTCCAGTCTGATAGCATCATCATTGCTTTATATAATTAAAAGAATAAAGGAGTCCCATTATAAGAAAACACATGATGTCTAACTTCTGATATTTCTAGAAATTCAATCTCCTGAAAATCCTTCCAAACTAAAGAAAATAGAACTCCTTTCTGGCAGGGGCTTTTATGTTTTAAGTTCTAGTAGAGGTTTTTACAGCAAACTTCTGAATATCTAAAAATGAGCAGCCGCATAGACGGGCTGCCACAGTTTCCTTCTAACATACATCAGCAGCTGAGAGACACTCCTCTGAGATCCTGGAGTCAGGGGAGACACAGCTCCAAGATCCTGAAGCCAGGGGAGACACTCCTCCAAGATCCTGAAGTCAGGGGAGACACTCCTCCAAGATGCTGAAGCCAGGGGAGATACTTCTCCAAGATCCTGAAGTCAGGGGAGACACTCCTCCAAGATCCTGAAGTCAGAGGAAATGGGCTTAAAAATTCAAGGAGGAAATGAGCCTTTCTCCATTTGTTTGTCAGTGGATTGGCACCCCTAACATCACTTCTGAGCACCCAAGTGACTTCACAGTACCAACTTTTAGGGTCCAGACAAAAGTATTCAGGTGATTCTGACATTTTGACACCAGGAGATTAAACAAAATCACTGAAGAAATCCATTGTTACCTGCTTTGTTTAGAAACAGAATAGTGCAGAAATATATGGTATATCTCAATACTTTTTAGTGCTAGCATTGCGTTTTCTTTCTTCTCTATTGCTGAGAAAGTGGGCAAATTTGTCCTAAAAACAGAAAACTAAAATTAACATTATGAGAAGTCACAAAAGCTTTGATCTCACAATTTTTCATTTGACCAAAAATTGCAATATTAAAAAATATAAAATTGGGAATTTAAACATCTATAACAAGTGTATCAAACCACAGGATGCATGAACTCTTAACTGTAAAACCTATAAATCAGACACCTGGATATATCTTACACAAAATCAGGTTGCTTCCTGGAGAATACTTTATGGTTTACAAAATGTGTGTCTTTCTTCATAATCACATACTTCATTATAGACATCTATTTGAAATTATACTAAATTTCATTTTAAACGTTGTGCATTCTGGTAGTTTTCCATGGTAACAGAAAAAAAACTATCAGAAAACTAATATCTTAAGGAGCAATGCCACGGGTAATTATGTCCACTTGCTTTCTAACTGTTGCCATCAGAAATACCATGATGGGTGGTCTAAGCCCTTTGACAGGTGGCATCACAGGGCTGAGGCTAGAGAGGTGGATCAGTGATTAAGAGCACAGAGTGCTCTTGCAAAGGACACATTCCTAGTGCACACATCAATAGACTCATAACCAACTGTAATTCCAGCTCCAGAGGACTCAGGGCCCTCTCCCGGTCCCTGTGTGCGCATCCCGCCCTCCACTTGCTCCATATGTACACATACTTATATACATAATTAAAAGTAAAACAAAATAATGTACATTTTTTTTAAAAATCTTAAAGTCTAGATGTCTGTGTCCAAAGTAGGTTCTAAAATAAAGGAGTAACTCAACTAGTCTTTCTTGTTGGACTTTCTCTTGGGGACCACCAACTTCCAAATAACGACATGGAGACTTATTATTTATGAAAGGTTGGCCTTAGCTTAGGCTTTTCCCCCAACTAGCTCTTATAACCTAAATTAACCTGTTTTTAATAATCTGCATTCTTCCATGTGGCTCAGTTACCTCTTCTCTGTACCACATGTCCATCTTCTTCAGTGTCTCACTGACATCTCTTGCACACCTAGACTCATCCTGCTGAGTTTCTCTCCAGGAAGTCCCACTTAACCTCTTCTTGCCCAGCTATTGACCATTCAGCTCATTATTAAATCAATCAGAAGGTGCCTTGGCAAAGACACATCTTCACAGCCACAGTGCACAAAAAGATTTTACAGGACCTCTGCCGCTGCATCAGCCACAGACACCATCATAGCCCTGGTCAGCAGCACAGGCTAAGGACGTCAACATAGTCTCAGGTGCATTGCTTACTTTTGATAGTATTGAGAAACTGCCCCTACTACTTTGTTCATGACTCTTGCCTCCACTTTCAAAAACAACAAGTCAAATTTTTCTCATCAACCCCAACTCTGCCCTCTTCCTCTGCCTCTTTCATATTTAAGGACCACTGATAACATGGGGTCAGTATAACTTACCTATGTTAAATTCATCTGATTAACAGTCCTTTCTCAAATTTTTTTTCTTTATTCATTTTTATTGTACAATTTATTGTTTTGCCTGCATGTATGTCTATTCAACAGGCGTGTGCCTGTTCCCTGTGGAGGTCAGAAGAAGGCATCAGATCCCCTGAAACAGGAGTTAGGGGCAGCTGTGTGCTACTACATGGGTGCTGGGAATCAAACCCAGGTCCTCTGAAAGAGCAACCAGTGCTCTTAACCTCTGAGCCATCTCTCCAGCCCCCTGATTAGCAATCTTTATTCCACCTGTTGCCTTGGTTCCACTTTGCTAAGCAAAATACATTCTCATTTCTGGGAATTAGGACAGGTTGAGTGTCCTTTCTATCAAATACAGATTTTTATTCCATGAACCAAAGTAAAATCATGTTCATTGGACTTCCAGTTACCAAAGCTGACTTTCCACATACACTTTTTTAAAATTATTTATTTTCTTTTCTTGGTTTTTTTTTGTTGTTGTTGTTGCTGTTGTTTTTGGTTTTGCAAAACAGGGTCTTTCTTTGTAGCTCTAGCTGTCCCAGAATTTACTCTGTAGACCAAGCTGGCCTCAAACTGACAGAGATCTGCCTGCTTCTGCCTCCCAAGTACTGGGATTAAAGGCATGCACCACCAATGCCCAGCATATTTTTTTAAGATTATAATTACATCATTTTCCCTTCCCTTTCCTCCCTCCAAAGCCTCTCATACCTCTCCTTGTTCTATTTCAATTCCGTGCTCCCTTTTTTCACTAATTGTTGTTATATACATATAAATATATGTATGTATGTATGTATGTATATATATATATATATATATTACAACTTTTATATATTTTATATCTGTCAAGTCCTGCTCCAAATGGTTCTGAAGGGGGAAGTGTGGCGTTTAAAAGTGACAGCCATAAGATATAGACGTAGATGAAGAAAAAGACAAAGACACAAGACAGCTTCAGAAGGGCTCTGGGTCAATATCACATACGCCTGAGTTTATTACTCACAGTCTTTATAGACCCCCTTGAAATCTTCCCCCTTTCAAGGACGTCACAGTTCAAGGTACAAAGTACAGTTAAGTGTAAACATTTCCTTAGTACTCAAGACATCTGGTGATCACACCTTATGGCAAAGCATCCTGTAAATAGGCCTTGAAGTATATGACACCTGGTAACCACGCCTTTGGCCAAAACATCTCATTATGCAGCCTTGCAAGGGGAAAACAAGCTCGGAGTCTCTGACCTTGAGTCAAGATGAAAACAAGCCACAAGCTGGGGTCTCTGTGGGCCCCCATATATGTCCATATATATGAATATGAATATCTACTTCTAAATATATAACTACAACCTGACCAGTCTGTATAATGTTACTTATATGTATGTTTTTAGTGGTGACCATTTCATATTGAATAACCAATTGATATGATCTTCCCAGAATATCTCTCTCTCTCTCTCTCTCTCTCTCTCTCTCTCTCTCTCTCTCTTTCTCTCTCTCTCTCTCAGCATTCTGTATTTGCCTGTAGTTCTTTGTGTAGGAATTAGGCCTCATGGGATAGACTTCCTTCTACCTTTGCACAAGTTTTTTATCAGAATTTTTTTTGTAAAGAACAATTTTAAAAACCTTCACCCAGAGGATCGCTTGGTAACTTTCCGTAAGTAACATTGAAAGTGGCTGAGTGAACGCTGCCTTGGGTGCTGTCATTTCTCTTACTGACATCAGTGGTTTAATCATAAATTTCAAAAAAGAAGATGTATCTGTATTAATATCCTTTCTGTACTGTGTATTATTTTTGATTCCACAGATTCAAAGCATGTATGAATTTCACTCATTTGCTCCACAGATATCAAACATCTTTCATTCAAAGACTGTATATATAAATAAAATTTAAAGATTAACATTCAAAATTATACCAAAATATAATAGAAAACAGTTCAGTAGCTCTATGCCACACTACTCTTCTATTGGGTAGATATATATAGATATAGATATATAGATATATCTATATAGATATATATTGGATTTTATAGTTTAAGAAAGAATCCAAGGCCAAATGAATTCTTGCTTTTTATTTCACTTTCAACACAACTTCAGTTTCGTGACACTTTGTATTTGTACTGACACTTTGTGTTTCCCAGGATCCTAGAATGACAGCACAGATGATCACCTTGGTACCAGAACACAGATGCTCACTGAGCTGCAGGAGCAGAGAGAGAGGCTCCCCTTTATGGGGGAGCACAGATGTTCACTGAGCTGCAGGAGCAGAGAGAGAGGCTCACCTTTATGGGGGAGCACAGATGTTCACTGAGAGGCAGGAACTCTTCAGCATCATCTCCCATCCTCTGCAGCCCAGAAACATTGCTCTCATACCTCCCAGGACTCTTCTTCCTCAGACATCTTCCCTTTCCTCAATGATATGGTACCTTGCAGTCCCAGCATATATATGATCCACAGTAAGAATAAAGTAAAGGAGGGAAGCTGTCTAATTGAGGAGTCATGGTTATCTTTGCCTGTTTATTTCAAGCAAATGTTTAATATTGGCTCTTATTTCATGAGTGTTGAGAACTCCACCACAGCAGAATGCATTAAATTACTCAGCCCAATGCTCATTTACCTAAGTCAGGTAATTATATACTGACTGCTTTGACCTGTCTTAGTCTATTAAATCTCTCTGTTTCCTAACTTCTTTAGTTGCAAATAGGAATTTTTTTGTGCATTGACTGTGTGTGTTCTTAGGGAATATTACCCATAAATTTGCCTGTATTGTCCTTATTTTCTGTACTGGTAAATATGTCCTTTCCTTGAATTATGTTAATAATCAGAATGAGGGAGTGCTAAACAAATCACCCAGTAGGACAAAAACTAGAAAATTATAATAAGGTTCCATCAATATCTCATAAGGAAGACATTGGATCAAGCCTGATCCTTAAAAGGTAGTAAAACCTTCTCTTCTATATAAAATTTAAGGGAAAAAAAGGGAAGGTATTAGGAGATAGGTGGAGTGTGACACTAGAACCCTGCTATAACTTGTATGTTTAATGCCCCCAGACTCCCCAGGTATTAATAACTTGATCTCAAGATGACGTTTCTGGGATGCAGTAGAAACTTTAGGAGATGGTACCCAGAGGGACAACGTTAGGTCACAGAGAAATGATAGTATTCTAGTCTCTTCCCGTTCTTCTTTTTAGGCCCTGGATCATGGAGTAAGTAGTTTTTCCCCATCATGGTGTTCCACATTTAGTGCATTTATCAGCTCATG